TGGCTGACTACAAAAAGAATCAATTGATTTATTTATTTTATTTTTTTGGGGAGAGTTTGAAGAATAGAAGCACTCTCTATATTTAGGTAAACAAGATGTATGATGAATTTGCGTAACATGGAGGGATTGGTCTTTTGTGGACCTAGTTTGGGCTATATATGGATTAATGTAACGACTTGTTTTATAAAATTGGAATAATGTACATCGGCTTTGAAGAATTTTTGTCCAAGTTACCTTTGCATTAACGAGTAGTACATATGTTACTCAGAAGGCCAAATTAAAGAAGTACTACCATTTGAACATAAAGGGAAAAACAATAAATTGCTATTATTTATTTTATTTACGAGTAGAAATTTTTTGTGAACGACGCTAATTATCTATCGTGTTTAACCTATCATATTTTTCTAATTTAAATATGATACATATACTTATAGTATGAAATATATGCTTTTGTATATTTTATGTTTTAGAGTATGACTTGTAATATTATAATTTAAAAGCTTATATATTATAAAAATACAACTATCGAAAGGCTTGTCTCACATCAGCAACGGTGCGGTTCGGTGAAAACTCGCTCCGAACAGCAAAAAACAAAAAAACTAACATATCAAAAATAAATAATCGAAGCGCACCGCATCTTAGAAAAAATTGAACCGACTTTTTTTTTTTCACTAAAATTACCGAACCGAATCGCACCAAAAGGCATGGTTCGGTCCGGTTTTTAGTTTTTTCTCGGTTGTTCTATACATTTTATTCAATTTGGTGCGGTTCAGTACAAAACTGCACCGAACCGAACAAGACCGAACGTATGGAAAACAATAACCACACCGAACCGCAATATAAAAAAAACGAACTGAAATTTTTTTACATAGAAACCCGAGCCGAACCGTACTGAATTGCTCGGTTTTAGTTCGGTTTTCGGTTTCGGCTCAGTTTTGCTCACCCCTATCAGAAGGGATTGGTCTTTGGTGGACCTAGTTTGGGCTATATGTGGATTAATGTAACGAGTGGGTTTGTAAATTGGAATAATTTACATGGGATTTAAGGAATTCTTGTCCTAAGTTACCTTCGCATTAACGAGTAGTACATATGTTACTCAGAAGGGCAAATTAGAGAAGTACTGCCATTTGAATTTGATGGGGAAAAAACGATAAATTGCTATTTGTGAAAACTGCATGCCCCTAATGAAAAGAGGCGGGGATGTGTCACTGGTTACAACATGATTTGATTGGAGTCGCGTACTCTCGTTCTGGTTGTGCTGTGACTTATTAGGCGTCTAGCCTCTGTCTTTGTACCAAAAAAAAAATAAAAATGGGTATTTATGAAAAAAAAATAAAAAAATTGGTGGACTATGCTAATTATCGGGTCTAACCTATCATTATTTTCTAATTTAAATATAATACTTATACTTATACTTATATTATGAAATATATGTTTTTATTTATTTTTTTTTAGAATATGACCTGTAATATTTTAATTTAAAAATATGCGTATATATTATAAAAATACAACTGTCGAAAGCATCAGTTTATTGTTGTGCGTTTAATTAAAAGGACAGCACCTACAAATTCTGGTGAAATTTAGGCTTATTGCGCTGCGTGTACCTTACGTTTCATACAAATTGATGATACAAGAGAACTCAACGTGATATTGTTCGTGGAATTATTATTATTATTATTATTATTATTATTATTATTATTATTATTATTATTATTATTGATGATGATACTAAATGGATTTCATTCGGTCTCCTTCAACTCGGACAGTCTCCGTATCTGCAAGAATCCAACACGGGGGGTCCCGACGTCCGCTTTTCGATGCCTACGTCTGCACTCGCTCCAAATCAAGAGTACAAATGAGAGTGTAATCATGAATGGAGAAAAGGTTTTGAGATACATCAGTCCTCTTTTACAAGGGGAGTGTACGTAACTTAGTGCCCAAGTTTTGCTTGATCCGTACCATTTGTTATGTGTCCTAGTTCATATGTGGACTTATTCTCCAATATATTCCTTCTTATCCATTAAAATCTGTCTAGTATAATATCTTATAACTGACGAGTTTTAGAGTTTCTGAAGTTTCGGGGGAATACAAATTTCGCGCTTGTACTAAAAACAATGTAAGTTAATGTAAATTTGCAGAAGCGAATAAATACAACGTACTTTCAGGAGAGCGTCTCACTCTCCCTCAGAACTATTTCATTAAGCAAGTGTTCGGCCAACAAGTACAACTAAGATTTACTCGCATAGACTCCATCTAGCTAACCTACTTTGTACCCCACATACCTAACTACTTTTTTGGTCACGACGTGGACTTACACTCCATGTATGGATCCCTCCAAGCAGATGAAGATGCTTTTCCCGAGCACTCTTTGTCCTATTTTTGTTATCTTTTTCGTTGTTGGTTTATTGATTTTTGCCCCCGTTTTTAGGTCTTTTGATAGGATTTTTGGTCCTCTAGTCGTTTGTTTCGTGTGTTGCAGTTATTTTGTTGTTTTTCGTATTTTTGGTTGTTTTCTCTGTTTTCGGGTATTTTTCTTGTTCTTGGAGGTATGCAGGTTCGGATTGATGATTAGTTGTTTGGAGTCTATCCAGTCGAGCGATCCCGGATATACAGAGTACATGTCCCAGAGTTAGATAAAGAAAAAGAAAAATGAGCCTTACAGCTGCCACGCCGCGGCACAACGCGTGAAGCCCGTCACGCGTGGACAGAGGCTTTACTTCCGCCACCACGCCGCGAAGATGTGCCGCGTAGCGCCACAAGATCCTGCCGCGCCGTGATACTCCTTCCGCGCCACGGTGAAGAACCCTATCGCGCCGTGATGCTCCCTACTGCACCGTGGAGCTGCCATCTGCCGCGCCCGTGAACCTTCCACACTCCGTGGACGATTGTTGATATAAATAAGAGATGATCGGGTTCTTCTATCAGATATCTTTTCTCTTTAGAAAACTTCAGAACCCTACCTATCATTCCAAACACTCGTTTTCATCTTTCTTTCGTATTTTTAATCGTAGAACAAGGATTTGGGATTGGATTTTATTATTGCTTTCGGATTTCAAGCTTGTTTATCGAATTCAACCTTGAGAATTATCAATCGTAAGATTTCCTTTTAACTTTATCGTTAATTATGAATTCTTGGATTGTAATGAATGCTTTTGTTGATTCGATTATGAGTAGCTAAATTCACATGCTAGGGAATAGGGGATGATGTTTTGGATTCGTGTGTGACTATTGAGTTCGTCGATTATTCACTTTATGCAATTCATTCTTAATTAGGGTTTTCGATTTATGCTTGAATGTTGAGAATTGTTGAAGGGTGACACTTCAATTTCCAATTAATCTTTGTTTGAATTTGATTCGTTCTCGCGTGATATTGTTATCTCTATATGGACTAGTTGATAAACCATCTTCTAGGATTATTTAATCGGCTCTTAGAACCGAAAGGGGAGGTGCTAATCGATTTAGAATCGTATAAACTAGGCTTGTTCGTAATTATATTGTCTAGGTGTTAAATGACTTGTTAACTTGTCGTTTAAGTTTGTTCTCTTGTTACGAATAGTTATTGAGCATGAGTACTTGAACGTGCCGGTTATTCAAATCACTTGACGGAACAATCTCTTGCTTGATAATTGCATTTCGAACCGAAACGGATATCCCCGACTCCATAACTTATTTAATCTTACTTGTTCTACGTGATTGCTTGCTATTTACTTTGCTTATTTGAATTTTTGCAGTAGTTGATAACTAAATTAAAACCATCTCTGAATTAGCATGTTTAGGAACTTTATTTCTTTTATTTTTGTTTGTGTGGTTGAGTAAACGTATAAAACATTCCGGCTAGCCTTCCGCGAGAGACACGACCCGGTGTCGAATCTTTTGATTCTACTCTAGAAAAAAATATTTACAACAAATTGGCGTCGTTGCCGGGGAAGGTTTAGGACGTATTTTGTGCGCTTATTAACTTCATTTTTCTGGGTTTCTCTTTATTTCTCTTTATTTTTTTAGGTGTTAGTTTTTGTTTTGCTTTTGTTTTCATTTTATTTTCTCATGTTTTCTATTGGTGCTCGTAACCTTTTGTTGTCTGAGTGTATGCGTACCAAGAGTGGACGTATACTATCTCCGATCAACAAGTCCGTCAACGAGAGCCTGAGAGAGCTGCTGGACGAGCTCACTCTCGAATCACCCGAAGGAGGCAAGCATTCTCCGAAATCATCCGAGGGAAGCAATTTTGACATGACTAAACAACAAGCTTCCCGTAATCCTCTGAAACCTGGCCCAACCAATGATCGGGCCAATCATTTCTTGTATCCGGTTTGGGCAAGCCACCCGAAACTATGAGTTGAAAATGGTCCACTACAACCAGCTACCTTCATTCCATGGGCTCCCTAATGAAGATCCATTCCACTATCTTCGAGAGTTCTATAATGTCCTCCAGACGTTTCCTCTGCATGGGTTGATTGAGGACCAACTGAAAATGAGGTGCTTCCCTGAGACGCTGAAGGACCGGGCCAAGGCTTGGTTTATGACCCTCTCCCCGGATTCTCCAACAACTTGGGCTGAAGTCTACTCGAAATTTGTCGGGAAGTACTATTCCCATCAAAAGACCCAAGACATCCGGTCCCAAATCGTCTCTTTCGCTCAGCTACCTCATGAGCCTCTTCATGAGGCTTGGGAACGTTTTAAGGACCTCCAGAGGCAGTGCCCCCACCACAACCTCGCTCTTGGGCTATTGGCGAACTGTTTCTACGACTCCCTCCACTAGAACTTGCAATACATGGTAGACAACACAGCCGGAGGGGATATTGGGGCCAAAACTGTCGAGGAGATGATTGCGATTTACGAGACGATGAGTGCTAACTCGTCTCAGAAAAGCATCAGAGGGAAGAGGTCCACAGTGAACGAGGTCGGACCGGGCAATAACTCCATGGCCCAACAGTTAGCTGATCTTACCGAGCAGATGCGGCTACTGAATGCTCGAAGTTCCTCGCCGATTCAGGCTATGGTTGTGAGTTCTTGTGGAGCATGCGGAGTACAGGGACACAGTTCTGAGGTATGCCCTATGACTATCGAGCCAAACTATGGGGGACACGAAGCTGAACTGAACATTGTGCAAGGATATCAGAACAGGCCCGAGAATGACCCCTATTCGAACATATACAACCTTGGGTGGTGAAACCACCCTCACTTCTCTTGGGCCAACAACAATAGCATTCAACAACCTCGTCAGAATTTCACTCAACAGCAACCACATGCGCCTTTGTTCCTCAACAGCAAATGAGGACGAACTATCCTCAACAACAGCAACAACAGCGGGCAGGCCCGAGTCCATCAAACCAAGATAATAAGTTGGACAAGATTCTCCAGTATATTATGAACCAAGATGCATCAATCAAGCATCTTGAGACCCAAGTGGGCCAGCTAGCCACACGGGTCGGGACCATCGAGACTGAGTTGAACAAAGAGAAGTTGCCGAGTCAGCCGGAGCATGCGAATTCGGTGATCGTGATTATGCCCGAAGAGATGAAGGAAGTAAAAGAGGTCCCGAAGGAGCATGGGAGAACGGAAGAAGTTCTGGTGATACCGCCTACTGAGCTGGCCTTGCACAAGTCTCTGAACCAGTACAGACCAAAGATTCCATTCTCGAGCCGACTTTTGGAGGAGAAGGACCGTAAGCTGATGCGAGACCTCCATATCATGTTGGTTAAGGCCAATGTTGATTTATCTCCTCTTGACGTGATGAAGAAAATCCCGGCCTATGCAAAATTTTTCAAGGAAGTAGCAATGAATAAGAGGCGGGTAGAGGGTAGCGATGGAGTGATTATATGCGAGGTGGAGAGTGTCTCCGGTATGACCTGCCAAAGAAAGAAAAGGACCCCGGAGGCTTCGTGATCACTATGGCCTTCAGGAATGGCGAAGAGACCTTGGGGATGCTCGATCTAGGAGTGGGCATAAACCTCATGCCACTTGCAGTATATCACAGGCTCGGGCTTGGAGACTTGAGGCCCACCAGGATGCGCTTACAGTTGGCTGATCGCTCGTTCCGCCAACCAGTAGGAATTGTTGAGGATGTGCTTGTTCGAGTGGGGAAGTTGATCATACCCATGGACTTCGTCGTGCTAAATGTGGGAGAAGTGCAAGAAAATGGGAAGGGTCACAC